CTGTCAAGTTTTTTTTTCTATTGTTTACTCTTCATTAGGGATATTTATCCTCTTTATTTGTACTTTGACCATTGTCAATCAGACAAAGTATGGGGAAATCTAAAATTTTAGAGTTGCCCCTAGAACAAGAGGAAAGAGAGGTAAGAGGAAATTTTCCAATGGGAACCTCTGTTCCAGGGATAGCTGTTAAATAGAGGGATTCCAATCACTTTGGGAGATTACCTGGAAGGGGTTTTAATCCTTCCTTATTCAATCTAAGACTAAATACTATACTAAAAACTATGGGTTTGATTTACTAAAGGCAAATAGGCTCTTTACTTTGCAAGGTAAATTGTACTTTGCAATGGACTTCCATTATCCAATCATGTGCAAGCAAAAATGCAGTTTTTTTTAATCTTTCCTTGCATGTGATTGGGTATTCTTCTCAATTATTTTTAACCAACAGAAAATGTATTGAGCCTAGTACCATGACTAATGTAGGTAAATTTTTTATGCATGATATATTTAATTAGTAGAGCTATGTTCTTTGCCGAACAATATAATTAAAGCAGAGGTATATTGGCTGAGGCTGAGTCTTGGAGGCCCACGTCCACCTGAACCCATGCTATGCTATTCTATAGATTTTGGTATTATATACGGTTTTCAATTCTTTATTATTTTTTAACAATATATATTGTGTTACACATCACTCCATTGTAGATTGCTTGAGAAAGGAGGGCCACTGTCAGTCTATACACAGTGCACATGCTCAGAAATGCAATGTAAGTTCTAAGGTGACGTCATCATGCTTGGCGCTGCAGTCCACGAGCATTCCAGCCTTATCCTTCAAATCCTATACATTCTCCAGGCGGCTTACTTGTTTGAGTAGAGTGGCAGCGGTGACCAGTGGCATCTCTACAACAAGCAGTGACCTTCCCGCCAGTGTTTTTACCTAGATGTGCCTCCATTCTTAATTTAAATGGGAGTTGCCTACTTTTAGAAATAAATAGTTCAGAGTGTCTACACTTAGAGTCGCTTCTCTCTTTTCCTCTTATTTTTTGCAAAATGAAACTTTGCCATACTAAGCTCTGGGGCAAATTCCCCCAGAACAGTCTATTTGTTTTTAGCATCTCATCCTCTATGTATAGCTATGCATACACCTTAATTCGTCATACCACATATACACTCTAATTATCACATTATTACAGCTGTAGCAGTAAAATATAGATGATGCAGTAAGCAGTTCTAAATTGTATTAGATAACATTTCCTTGCCATTGTGCTTCACATAAACCAAGAATTGATAGGAGACCTCTTATCAAAATCAAAACAAAGTTAATATGATCAAGTATTTTGCTGGTCTGCAAAAAAGAGGTAGCTCATTAATTTTAAAGTGTTCTTTAATCACAGAAACAGGTGCATTTGATGTATATGTTAAAAATGCACTGCAAGCAGCTTTGTCTTAGTAGAAATTAAACAGCAGTACATCAATAATTTATCAGTTTATTAACTCTTTATAAGTAATTAATTATCTTCATTGAGGTGTATCTCATTTAAATAGCTGTTCTTCGCAACTTTATCAAGACTTTTTTTAATTTAAAGTTCCGTATGGATATATATCAACTGCTGTGTCAGTTGTTCTTTGCAGAATTAGCGTTAATATTCTGATTATCTTCTATTTTTCATCTTTCATTTTTATGTACACATATCCTCGAGCATACCTCTAACAGTAGAGACCTCAACAGGCATAATGTATCATAATATATTTGTAAAATTAGTTGCAATGTAGATAAGATAGAAAGTAACCAACTTAACCACCACTTCCCGACCGGCCGTTGCATATAAACGGCCGGACGGTGGCAGTGCAGGGTCGGGTGGCCGTTTATAAACGGCCTCCCCGCACCCTGCTTGTGCGTGCTCCCTGGGAGCACGCAGCACCGTGATCCGGTGCCCGCTGTGTCCTCCGGACACAGTGAAACACCGATCGGCGGACGGGACCTCTGTACGAGGTCCTGATCATGTGATCACTGATTGGCCAATCAGTGATCACATGCAAAGTAGTAAGCAAGATGTCACTTGTGACATCATTGCTTACTACGTGTGAAATCTGTGAATGATCACAGAGGTCACATGGTACAAGGCTATTCACAACAGCCTTGTACCATGTGACAAACTGTGACCAATCACAGCTCACTCAGTACTTCTCAATGAGTGCAGGAATGCACACAGAGAGAAAGAGAAATGATTGCTTTTACATCCTATATGGGTGTAAAAGCAATCAGTGTAAAAAAAAAAAAAAAAAAAAATCTTCATCACCCCCCCCCCCCCCCCCCCCCCCCCACTAGGGTGACAGTATGTAAAAAAAAATAAAAAAACAATAATATAAAAAAATTAAATGAAAATGTAAAAAAAAATGTTTAAAAATTATAATTTTTGGTTATAAACTAATTTGTTTTTTTTTTAACTAAAAAGATAACGGAATAAATTTTGGCAAAGATTTATGATGAAATATTATTTATTTACAAAATTTTATAAAAAAAAACACTTTTGTTCAAAATTTTTGGACTTTTTCATTTACATAGCAAAAAAAATTAAAATCCCAGCGGTGAATAAATACCACCAAAATAAAGCTTTATCTGTCTCAAAAAAATGGTAAAAAATAAATTTTGGTACAGTGTTGCATGACTGCGCAATTGTCATTCAAAGTGTGATAGCACTGAAAGCTGAAAATTGCCCTGGTCAGGAAGGGGGTAAAAGTGTCCGGTCTGGAAGTGGTTAAAAACACGGGGTCAACTTTTACATATCTGCCTGATACTTGCTGCAGTGGTGTGGAGGGAGGTGGGTGCTCTGGCCAACAGCAACTCCATTCTTGTTGGCTGCTGTGTGTGTGAGCAGTATCATGAGACTGGGGCACCTGTCTTCCTGCATACCACTGAACCAAAATCAGGTAGATTTGTTAAGGGGACACTTGTTTCAATGTGTTGTAACAACCAACTGTTTTTACACATTACGGACCCTTTGATTCCTGTGGATTTACAGGTAAACCAAGAGGATTGTATATTGTGTAATTTCTTACGTATTCTTTGCAACCCTTGTATATGGCTGGAGACAAGAGAGGTACTTTTTATCTTATTTACATTACAATTACTTTTATGAACATTTTATTATACATTATGCCTATTGCTAGAAGAAAAATAATGTATTGATTTTAATAAGGACTGTTTTGGAGGCGTTCTACTATGACTTGGCCGCAACCGATTTTTTATTGAGTATACTTTGTTCGCTAAATATACATTTGTTTGTCTTTTCTTTATACAAAAAAACTTTCAAATAAGCCAACATAAACATGAAATGCCTGTTGGCAGATATCTGGAACTTTAATAAGGACATATTCAACTGACCCACTGTTGATCACTTGATACATGTATTTTCTTTGAGTGTCCAACAGTTCAGAAATTAAGGCATTCAATGTGCAAATACAGACTTCCAGCTGTAACACAGCACAGTCTACCTATAAAATCTGAAATTATAGGAGATAAACGATATCTTTTGTGCAGTTAGGGACACAGTGGGGAGGTTGGGGAGGCATACCAGATCTTGATCTCAGACTGGGGTTTCCATGTTTGCTCCCAGGTCAAATTGTAAAAGGTTGGCTAAAAAATAAATACTTAGCTTGTCCTTTCTTGCAACACTTCTGGGACATCACTGTGCTTGTTGGCAGATCTGGGTGCTCTAAATCATGTGAGAATCCATTCCTGCAATGGACTGGAGCACTTCCTGTAGCCTTGGTGACCTCACCAGAATCTCTTGTAAGCAACAACATTTTTCCCTTTTTATTTATATATTGTTACACAATTTTTCATTTTAACTGCTTTTTAAGCCATCTGTACTTGGGAAGTGGGGACTGTGAAATAAACAAACCTTCCAATTATACCTGAGGTTCACATTAAGGGCCCACTATTGTGAAAAATATTTAATTCCAAACAACATTATAACATTGATACTTGTAATGATAAAATTAAAAAAAAAAAATTTGGCTTTATTTACTAAAACTGGAGAGTGCAAAATCTAGTGCAGCTCTGCATAGTAGCCAATCAACTTCTATCTTCAGCTTGTTCAATCAAGCTTTAACAAAAAAAAAAAACCTGGAAGCTGACTGGTTTCTATACAGAGCTGCCCCAGACGTTGCACTCTCCATTTTTAGTAAATCAACCCATTGACTCTTTGTTTACTTACCATGCTTTAGTATACATTTTTCTCTACATGTAGTCCACACTGTCAAGCAAAAGTTACAGGACATAGGTTGGGACAAGCTATACAAGTTTTGGAGTTCATACAACAGTCACATTTTATTCATATGGTTTTAAGCTAGGTTCAAACTGCTGCAATACCATTTTGATTTGAGTTTCCGTGGGATTATGTAGTGCTACTTGGATGCAACTTTGATAAACTTTGTATATTCTATGGGGCCAAAATCACACTGGAATCACACCAAAGTAATACAGGAACCTTTTCCAAAATCGTCAGTGCTGAGTTGCATTGATGTGGAAGGACACAATTGAAAACAATCTGATTTCCCTTGTTATGTGATTCTGTGTGACTCAAGTTGCATTTTAAATTGCACTAGTGTAAACCAGGCCTAAATTCTCTTAGGAAAAGAACATTTACTCCAAGTTCCTGAACACCCCTGAGGTGATAAAATTATTAACTATTATTAATTATTTACGATAGTGGTCCAGGGCAGGTTTGCTTCAAGCACTACCACATTACACAAACACATTTTATTTCTTTACTATAACTTTTTACAGTTGGAAAATATTATTTCTAGTCTCAGAAATTAAGCAGAAACAAAAAGATTAATTTTATTAGATAGTTTACTATATGCAACGCAATATAAAATTATATACTTTGCTATACAGAGAAAAAATCTAGCACAAGAAAAATTAGCAAATATTTTTTTTAAAATCCCACATATCTGAAAAAAGGTAATACAATAAGTAAAAAGTGACAACAAAGTATAGCTCAGGTAAACTGTGACACTACCCAATCTAACAGGCTTCCCTTCATTAACATACAGCCGTGAGTCAGGTCAAAAACTCTCTCCAGCCTGATTAATGATGGCAAAGTGATGTCAAATGGAGCCTGTGAAATGAAGGAAATTATAGCTGTGAGAGAATCATTTTTCTTGTCATAGGCAAGCATCACATCTATTTTCTCACTTAAGAAGATTAATATCGCAAAGCAAAATTTTGCTGAAATACCCACCAAATGGAAAGGACTACAGAGTGAGAGACAATAAATAAATTTATGATAAACAATGAATAATTAAATTATAGAAGGTGTACCATTTTAAAATTATGCAGGGTTAGTTTTGTAGCAATAAATTCTATAAAGATATTTAGAATGGAAAATATAAATGGAATCTAACCTGAGTTACTGTGTGAGGATCAGAAGCAGAAGACAGCAAACACTGAGCTTCAGTACAGCATTCCAAAATCACTGTCTGCAAACAGAAAAAGAATATGTGACTGCTTTATAAGAAACAGGTGAGAGCTATTCACATACTGTATGGATAAACATTTCAGCCATCTTCATCCAAAGATAAAAATGTTTAAAGTGAAGATACCATCATACAAAGATAATAACACAAAACAATAACTTTTATGTATGGTGTGCAATGTTTGTTGCATTCTATTCAACTCTGTTGATGAAGCCCCCAAGTTATAGGAGAGATCACAAGAAAAGTTCAGAAGAGTAGTAATACATGGTGATATTTATATAAAAACATAGATGTAGTGCAACAAATGAACATAAATATACAATACAACTAATGAAGAAATTATAAGATAAAGTCCATATAATCCAGTGATAAAAAGTCCACCACCAATGTGCTGCAGATGCATACTTCTCTACACTCCTTCCAATACTGTCTATGCTTTATATTGGGCTCATTCAAAAGAGTAGACTACATACTTATTTTTAATGTTTCAAAGTTGTGACTCACCCAAGGGTAGGGGTCTTATCTCAGATTTATACTGCTCCTTCTTACAGATCATTTTTCCCTTGCCCCCTTTGTATAGACAGAAATGGGAGATTGAGTGTGGGGTTACGTTCTCCGATGAGGACTGGGGCTCTATAGTAGAGAATATACGGAAGGGCTCTAGATCTCTTTCGGTTAGCGAGACGGCCCTGAAGGTTTTAACTCGCTGGTACTATACCCAGTCTAGACTTCATGTCATGTTTCTGGGAACATTGCACCTTTGCTTTAGGGGGTGTGGCTTAGCTGGTACCCTTGTACATGTATTTTGGGCTTGTCCTGGTCTTTCCTTGATCTGGCGTAGTATTTCAGAGGTGGATTCCTCTTTGGCGGGTTCTCCAGTGGATTTATCCTTGCAAATTTGCATATTGCGTGTATTGCTTTTGGGACCCCAGTTAATCAAATGAGGCTAATTCACACTATCTGCAATTCCACCCTATGGGCCATTGCTCTTTATTGGAAAACTCCAGTGGTCCCTTTGGCTTCTGTCTTAAGGAGAGTTGATATGGTTATGCTTATGGAATGTATTCAATATACTTTGCTGGATAGGATGCATTTATTCGACAGGAAATGGGATGGTTGGAGAACGCATCGCCACTTACTGTTCAATTGATGGTCTATCATGGGTTGTTTTGTATCAAACCTTTTATTGATCTTGTGGTTGTTTTGCTGATATTATTGACTACATCTTTCATGTACTGTTTTTTTTAATACTTTCATGATTGTACTTTGTATTTCTGTTCATTTCTTATATGTTTTTTCAAGCTGTTTATTCTACCTTACTAAATGGTGCAGTGTTTGTAGTCCGTCTCCTATAAAAACGTTTGTAAACAAAAAAAGAGTAGACTACAGAATAAAGGTTTAGGGGGTATAACCCCAGTTAATGCATAAAAGCAGAACATTTTATAAAATGGAAATAAAATATATATACTCTGGCATAAATAGGTATAGACACCTTAATTTGAATAACAACGGCTTAGATGCAAAGAGGTCCTTTTAACTGCCTCCAGTCTGGTACATTTCATATAACAATCAGTTTTTTTTTTGCTAGAAAATTACTTATAACCCCCAAATGTTATATATTTTTTCAGAGGTCTTAGAGAATAAATTGGTGAGTTTTTAATTTTTTTTATGTCACACGGTATTTGCACAGCGGTTTTTCAAATGCAATTTTATGGGGGAAAAAATATTTTTTTTTAAATTTTATTGCAAAAACACACAATACACAACCCATTTTTTGTAAAACATAAAAGATGATGTTACTCTGAGTAAATAGATACCAAACATGTCATGCTTTAAAATGGCACATGCCCATGAAATGGGTTTGCCATTTTAGATTTGCAGAGGAAGTTTGGTGCTAGAATTACTGCCCATAATCCAACATTCACGGGTGATACCTCATATGTGTGGGTCGATTGCTGTTTGCGTGCGTGCGGGACCAAAGCGTGCATTAGTCTTTGAGCGTGAGCAGGGGAGGATGGGGGGGGGGGGGGGGGGCTTTATTTTAAAAAAAAATTATTCATTTATTTTTTTTATTTGTTTTTACATGTTTTTTTTTTTTTTTTTTAATCACTGTTATTGCTGTCAGAAGGAATGTAAACATCCCGATAAATAAATAAATATAGTGAGTGCTCTTATAGCAGCAGCTGAAACACCAAAAGGTAACCACAGTAAACCTCCAAATAAATACAGATATATAAGGTGCAGCGCTAATAAAAATATAATATAAAATAAATGAGTCCAATATTAATAAGAAAAGTTCATGTATTGTATCAAATGAATGATCAATTCAGCAGCAGATTTTAAATAGGCTTGTGACAGGAACCGATAGAAAAAGTGCGCACTCACTGGAAGTGCATAGGTAATGCGCATATAATTTAAAACCACCAGATTCACTCTACATAGGCGGGATATATAGGTGAGCTTCCAGCTATGGATTGGTCATCAAGCCTTGGGATAGTAGAAATGTGCTGGATCCAGAGGTCCCCTTAAGGATGGGTGGGGTGCTCAGCCTGGGTACAGGGCTCTCTTCCTCTGGATGCTGAAGTTCAATTGGGGGTGACCTTTCTGTTAGGACCTGGCCTCATGCTTGCCGATTTCTCGTCTAGGCAAGAATGCCGTCTACCTCTGCCTAAAGCTGTCTGAGATACTGAAGTTTAAGAGTGAGCACAGGTTCGGTTCAGTCCAAACCCAGAAGCATGCTGCCACGCCCACCAAAATGACCACCAAAGTATTGACTCAGGGGGGCTGAATACAAATGCACGCCATACTTTTCAGATATTTATTTCCTTCCACTTCACAAATAGATGCCCCTTTGTATTGGTCTATCACACAAAATCCTAATAAAACACAGGACAAAATGTAGAAAATTTCAAGGGGTATGAATACTCTTTCAAGGCACTATATCTTATAGTGGATATAAAAAGTCTACACACCCCTGTTAAAATGTCAGCTTTCTCTGATGTAAAAAAAACGAGACAAAGATACATTTCCACCTTTTAACGTGACATTAAATGTGAACATTTTCCATCTTTTAATGTGACCTATAAACTGTACAACTCAATTGAAAAACAAACTGAAATCTTTTGGGGGGGGAGTAAACATAAAAAACTAACATAATGTGGCTGCATAAGTGTGCACACCCTCTTATAACTGGGGATGTAGCTGTGTTCAGAATTAAGCAATCACATTAAAAATCATGTTAAATAGGAGTTAGTACACACCTGCCATCATTTAAAGTGCCTCTGTGTCAGGGATCCTGTCTCCGTGCAGCAGTGCGACGGCAAAGGATCCCCTCGGGCCGTGGCGGTGCGAGTGCGCATGCGTGGCGCGCATGCGCAGAAGCGTGGAAGTTCGAACATGCGCAGTAAAGTACATGTCACCGCTAGGCGGGCTATTTAAACCTGCAGAACAGCAAAATCAATGCCTTCTGGTCTACAACATTCCCTGCACTTATTAACTGATTCTATTGCCTGTATTCTGATCTGAACTGACTAAAAAAGAACTCCGCCTGCACCAACCTCAGCTATCACTGACCATCCGCTTGCCTGCTCCCTTGTACTTGATCTGCTGCCTAATACTAACCCAGCTTGTCTGACTCTGCTGCACCTACTTACCTCTACCTGCACCTGGCTTGCATCCTGACGGCTGCCATACTTACCTGCCACTGCACCCATGGTCCTGCACCTGGCCTGCATCCTGGTCACCGCTACACTTACCTGCTGCTGCACCCACGGTCCTGTATCCGGCCTGCATCCTGGTCACAGCCATACCTGCCTGCTGCCGCATCCCCTGCTCCTGTGTCCAGTCCAGTCTGCATCCTGATTGCCGCCATACCTGCCTGCTGCTGCACCCACTTTCCTGCATCCACACCAGGCCTTCATCCGGATCTCCTGGGTCCCCAGCTGCCTGCCACCAGCTCCAGATCTACCCAGCACTTGTGCCACTCCTGGCTCTGCGCCCTCTGTTCTTACTATCAGGGGCTCCGAGCGGGAGTCATAAGAGGACGCATGGTGGGTAGCAGCAACATGCTTTGGGGCTGTTTTTCTTCAGTTGGTACTGGGGCCTTACTCAAAGTAGATGGAATTATGAACAGTTCCAAATACCAGTCAATATTGGCACAAAACCTTCAGGCTTCTGCTTGAACGCTGAACAACCCAATGCATACATCCAAATCAACAAAGGAATGGCTTCACCAGAAGAAGATTAAAATTTTGGAATGGCCCAGCCAGAGCCCAGTCCTGAATCCGATCGGAAAATCTGTGGGGTGATCTGAAGAGGGCTGTGCACAGGAGATGCCCTCACAATCTGACAGATTTGGAGTATTGTTGCAAGGAAGAGTGGGCAAATATTGCCAAGTCAACATATACCATGCTGATAGACTCACACCCAAAAAGACTGAGTGCTGGAATAAAATGAAAAGGTGCTTCAACAAAGTATTATTTTAAGGGTGTGCACACTTAAGCAACCACATTATTTTAGTTTTTTATTTTTACTTCCCTCCACCTAAAAGATTTCAGTTTGTTGTTCACCTGAGTTGTACAGTTTATAGGTCACATTAAAGGTGGAAAAATTTTTGAAATGATTTATCTTTGTCTCGTTTTTTTTTACATCACAGAAACCTGACATTTTAACAGGGGTGTGTAGACTTTTTATATCCACTGTACGTTTTCTAAGGATAGCTTGTTCACAAAATGAACATGAAGTGGTGCCAGAAAACACAAGGAATGAGTACTTATACTGTGTGCAGTCATTTCATTATCTTAAGATTTTAAAATAGACTTCTATGAAACATGTTTAATGTGAATTGTCACAACTGCAGATCACTATCTGGTGCATACGGGTAGTCCTAAACTATAATTTGTTCATTTGTGTTTTCAGGGTTGTCCAAATTATCAGTTCAAATCTGATATAAATTGGAGAGAGCACACTACAGTATAGGGTCAGTTCACACTATAGAAATGCAGTCCAGATGCGTTCTGGATGCGTTTTTACATGCACGTTTGTGACGTTTTTTGGTGCATTCCGGTGCATTTCTGATGCTTTCCATTTCATTTTTTTCCCCTCTCTTTTTCTTCAATTCAAATAGGGAAATGTGCGTTTTTGGTGTGCTCCAATGTGTTCTGGTGCATTCTTTATGCGTTTTCCACATACCAGTGCAGTTCTGTGCAGGAAAAATGCAGCATGTTTAACTTTTTCTGCAACTGAAACGCACTGGAACTGCAAGCACTGATGTGAACTATGACATTGACAACCATATAACCTACTTTCTGTGCATTTTGGATGCAGAACAAAAGCAACTAAAAAGCAGATAGTGTGAACTGGCCCTTAAAGGTCTTAGCTTAAGATAGCTGGGAGAGCTATATCCTCTACCAGGTCTTTAATGCTGTTAGTGTCCCCACTGGTAAGATGTCAGAGGGGAATGTCAAAGAAATGTCTGTGTATCAAATAAATGAAGCAGACAACAGAGTGGTTCCAGTAAAACTGAAATGACAAAGTCACACTGGGTGTAATTTTTGGTTGATGCTGATCCATAATGTAGTTAAGCTGCTTTATTGTCACCTCCATTGGTATAGCCACCTGCCAACCGTTCACAATAAATATACTGCGAGTGGGCGGCAGGTACAGGCACATTCATGTACATATATGTGACCAGCCTTCTTCTGGATTTGGGGCACACATGCACGCACCCCCTGATGACCCAGGTTGTGATTGAACACAGCACGATTTCAGCTAATGATTATGGCTGAAACCTGCTGATCAGTTGTGTCCACAAACAGAGTTCTGTGTTTACAAACACACAGAATTCTTTGTACATAGGAACAGTGATCTAACTGTTTCTTCTCCCTGAAAAGCAGGGAGAAAAAAACAGCCAGATTAGTAAGTAAAAGCAGCACACATTACACTTGTAGGACCACAGTTAACCCCTTAACTGACCCTAGATGTTAAACTCTTCCCAGCCAGTGTCATTAGTACAGTGTCAGTGTACAGCATTATTACAGTCCCTGATCACTCCTATTATGGTATAGTATCTATAGCGGCGTAAATTCCAGTAAATATACCATAGTTTGTAAAAACCCAGTGGTGATAAAATACCACCAAAAAGCTCTATTTATATGAAAACAAAATGCTATAAATTTCCATTTGTTTACAGTGTTGCATGACTGCTCAATTGCTAGTTAAAGTAGCACAGTGCTGAATAGCAAAATGTGCCGTGGTCATGAAAGAGGTAAAGCCATCTGGAGGTCAAGTGGTTAAAGCACAGGAATCCAGTTTGTTTTTGGAATTCCCTATGGATTCAAAAGAGAATGTACTGAACACACTATTTCAAATGGGTGTGGGTAAATCTATTTGCAAGAACATTATACAATGTTTGTCAGGCCCAATAAGCAGAAAATAAATATAATAAAAAATATCAAATGAGTAGAAATATGAAAATTATATCTATTTTTATACCACTTAATTTGGAAGATTGATAAACAGAACCTAGTCCTGCCAACACTTTGATATGGGAGTTATGACTAACATGCAGCTGTTGTACACGCGTATTACTTGTTTTCATCTCTCCAGCATATATTATCCAGCTTTAGAACTGAAAAATACATGCAAGTACAAGGCGGCATTTACATAAGGTTTATCGTGCGCTTGCGGCTAGAGAGAATGCACTTTAATAAAACTATAGAATATTTCAGTGGTAGCATGCTGTCCTACATATATATATATATATATATATATATATATATATATATATATATATATATATATAGCCATTGTTGGGCTGTAGTGAGCCCCATGATTACTATCTAACTGGACCCCCTTACCTTGCAAGGCCAGGGACTGAGCTCAACCACTCTTCCCCTCCAGCCTGCAGGTAGTGTGGAGAAATTTGCAAGTTGCAAAATTGTGCTGGGGGGGGTTAAACTTGTGCAGGGGTCAGGAGTGGGTAAAGCACAGGCAAAGACTGCAAAGGCTGTAGATGGGGTATATTCATGCTGCAGAGTGGCAAAAATTATCCCCCAGCGGCTGAACTCAACCAATCCCACCAAATGGTGTCATCACACAACTGCGTACAATGGTGCATGCTTTTAGGGGTCCAATCAGATGGTTAGTAAGCAATATAATGCTTCCTCACTGACTGTCAAATTCCTTTAACCACAGACCATTCTTCACAGGGTGACACAAGTGTACACTAATCCAAAGCTTCTGGAGACTTCAGTTGTTTCAGACGGGGAGCTAGGGAGCAGAACCGTGGTTAAAGTGTTATTAAAGTCTACATTTTTATTGCAATTAAAATTACAAACATGTTATACTTACCTGCATTGTGCAGTAGTATTGCACAGACCAGCCCTGATCCTCCTCTTCTGGGGTCCCTGGTCAGTGATCTCGGCTCCTCCTCTTCTTTGTGTGTTCCCCATAGCAAGTTGTTTGCTATGGGGACCCACTGCGTGCACACGCTGCATGGTTCCTGATAATTGAATTAACATTCCAGCCTCTTCTATATTAATTCGCAGGGACTTTAATTGTAAGCAAACGCAGAGCTGCAGACTACTTCACTGCACCTGAAAGTCAATAACTAGTCACCTCCGCCACTACATGGATTGCTGCCACTAATACTGTACTGTATGTGCTATGGTTTTTAAAGGAGTAGAACCTTAAAAAAAAAAAAAGTAGCCATTAGACATGAGCTGTAAACAAGGCTGTGTGTGTTTTGTGTCCAATACCTGTAACTCTTCAGGGATCTTGACTGGTTTGATGTCAGGCCTCTCTTTAGCAGTATGAGTAGACCTTTTCGGCTGTTCTCCGGAGACATCAGGTACAGGATGGAGAGAGAGTTCCGCCTTCTGCCTTAGAATACTTAACTTCTCTTGCAGTGACAGGACACTAAAAAATAGACACATGCTCAGAAAATTCACATTATATTCTCCAAAGCTCCAACAAAACCTAAATTGATATGAAGAATACTGACCCTTCTGTTTTAATAGCAAAGGACTGGGGGGTAACTATATTACTAAGCACAAATGTAAGGGGGCCCTTATCCACTGACAGAAATGTGGTACATAGGTTGAGAAAGGCTGCCTTCACAGAGCTTACAATCTAGGGTCCCTAGTTCACATTCATACATACTGTAAGCATACTAGGGCCAATTTAGACAGGAACCAAAAATATACTTTTTCATAAAGGTACATGGTAAAACAGGCACATATCAGGAATATGAAATTGTGGGTTGCCTTATTCCTTAAGGCTGATAAACCGCAGGATTGTGGAACTTTACCTTAAAAGGGAAATCCCCCCCCCCCCCCCCACCTCTTCTACTATTTCAGCAGGCATTCTCCCCACCATGTCCGCAACCTTCTGGGACGTGTCACGGGTTTCAGGAGACTGCAGATCCATTCACAGTGTTCAGTGTGCGCTTGCGCATGCGCAGTGGCAGGTCTGCTGTGAAGCCACAGGGAGTCACAGCTGGCTTCCCATAATAGAGCCGGGGACCCAAAAACCAGCAAAGAACTGGCTCAGGGAAGGACAGCGCTGGATCTCTGGACAGGCAGGTGTCTTTTCATTAGAAGTCAGCAGCCACAAATACTGTAGCCTAACTCTGTGAAGAGGAGAAACAACAGACAACTCCTCTAGTAAGGAGAAGATACACTGTACTCTTTCCTCCTCGCTAGAGAAGTCTGAAGAAAAACAAAAAAATCTGGTGGAAAAAAATAAAGATTTACCACAAAATGGGTAATAAGTTGCATTTATGTGCCCTACGATTAAATTTACTTTAATTTTTACTGAAAATTTGCATTTCATAAACCATTACATCAATATCATGTGACATAAAAAATTGTAACTGCAACAAATTCTTCAGGGTGTCTGCTTTCAGAAAATATAGAATGTTTTTGGAGTTTTAAGTAATCTTCAGGCCTAAAATCATTTTTTAAACAAAAAATGAAAAAATGGCTCTGGGACTAAAGTAATTTAAGTGGTAGCAAATACCGCTTGGTGACAAAGAATATCTCCTAAATGTGCACCATTTAGCAGATATTCATTATTTCTGTACCCAGTGATGTCACTGACACATGGGCACTGCAATCTGAAGGGATGACATACTGAATATGCTGTCCCTTCAGGACGATGTGCCGCAATTGTGGCTCCCATGCACATGCACGGAAGTGACTTCATTGCAGCTCGGCCATTCAAACGGCCAGAGCCTGCTAATCAGGAAGGAGGACCAGGTGAAGATGGAAGCCCTGTCAACGGTTACAGCATGCCGCTGGAGGGCTTCATTTTAGGGTAAGTCTTTCATAATGTGCTAGTATGTGATGCATACATTATGACATTAACCTGCAGGGGGAAAGTTTTTTTTTTTCTGTGGATATTACTATTTGTAAAAAATTTTGAAAACCATTTATAATTTTCCTTCCACTTCACAATTATGTGCCACTTTGTGTCGGTCTGTCACATAAAATCCCAAAAAAATACATTTACATTTTTGGTTGTAACATAACAAAATGTGAAACATTTCAAGTGTCTAAATACACTGCTCAAAAAAATAAAAGGAACACTTTTTAATCAGAGTATAGCATCAAGTAAATGAAACTCCTGGGATACTGATCTGGTCAGTTATGTAGCAGAGGGGATTGTTAATCAATTTCAGCTGCTTTGGTGTTAATGAGATTAACAACAGGTGCACTAGATGGGAAACAATGAGATAGTTTTACAGGTGGAGGCCACTGACATTTTTTTCCTACTCATCTTTTCTGACAGTTCTTCACTAGTGTAGCAGTGCAGGGCCCTGTCACAGGATGAAAATAGGTAGATATGGGCAGGAAATGGACACAGTGTTTACACATGTGCAGAACAGCGGAGCATAGATTTTGAGATGAGATAACTGTTGTTGCAGGTTTCTCTGGATTTTGATATTTCTGGATGGGGCTCCGTAGTTTGGAGACTTCAAAGTGCCTTGGGAGGGAAGAAATCTCCAATGCAGTGTCCAGATTTTGTAGTCAACTAGCAGGGTGTGGGCCCAGGTACTCACAAGCCTTATAATGATGGTCTGCTGAAAGTTGCAGGGGGGAGTGGAGTGCAGTTGGTGCAGTGGCTGCCATTGAGAGTCTCTGTGTGAGACAGATGCTGTGTGCATCAAAAAGGGCTTGAAGCCTTGTGCATCAAAAAGGCTCAAGGATGTGTAAGTTAAATGGCTAGAAGCTGGGTGCGTTAAAGGGCTCAAGGCTATGTGCATTAAAGGACTGAGGCTGTGTGTGTTAAAGAATAGCCAGTGGTCTGGGAGACCCATACCAGTAGAGGTACTGCTGACCAGCAGCAGTGCTAATGAGGAGTAGCCAGGAGGCTTGGTATTTTTCATTTGTATTTACAACTGGAGAAGAACCCCTATGTGGGAAAGCTTATGTTGGACTTTTGTTTTTTTGCCTTACCTTTTAATAAAAGTGGGCTACCAAGCCCTGAAATATAGTTCCAGACGAATGTGAACTTACTTTGAAAACGCATCTACCACGGAGCTAAACATCCCCCATGTCACACTAGTTGTGCATTTGGCTATGGTCAGTGTCACTACTGGTAGCATGAGGTGATACCTGGACCCTACAGAGGTTGCACAGGCAGTCCAACTCCTCCAGGATGGCACATCAATATGTGCCATTGCCAGAAGGTTTGTTGTGTCTCCCAGCACAGTCTCAAGACATGGAGGAGATTCCAGGAGACAGGCAGTTACTCTATGAGAGCTGGACAGGTCATTAACCCATCAGCAGGACTGGTATCTGCTGCTTTGTGCAAGGAGGAACAGGATGAGCACTGCCCGAGCCCTACAAAATTACCTCCAGCAGGCCAATGGTGTGAATGTCTCTGACCAAACAATCAGAAACAGACTTCATGAGGATGACCTGAGGGCCCGACATCCTCTAGTGGGCCCTGTGCTCACTGCCTGACACCATAGAGCTTAATTGGCATTTGCCATTGAACACCAGAATTGGCAGGTCTGCCATTGGTGCACTGTGCTTTTCACAGATGACAGCAGGTTCACCCTGAGCACATCTGAAAGACATGAAAGGGTCTGAAGAAGCCGTGGAAACCGTCATGCTGCCTGTAACATCATTCAGCATGAACAATTTGATGGTGGGTCAGTGATGGTCTGGGGAGGCATATCCATGGAGGGATGCACAGACCCTGACTGCATGGGCCCCCATGCTCACCTGACCTAAATCCAATAGAACACCTTTGGGATATCATGTTTTGGTCCATTCGAAGCCACCAGGTTGCAGCTCAGACTGTCCAGGAGCTCAGTAATGCCCTGGTCCAGATCTGGGAGGAAATACCCCAGGACACCATCCATTGTCTCTTTAGGAGCATGCCTTGATGTTGTCAGGCATACATACAAGCACATGGGGGACATACAAACTACTGAATACCATTTTGAGTTGCTGCAATGAAATTTCAGCAAAATGGAGTAGCCTGCTACATCATTTTTTCACTTTGATTTTCGGGGGTATCTTTGAATTCATTCATCACATCATTGTATTCCCTAGTGTGTCCAAGGGTAACCCAGGTCTTTCACAATCCTAGTTACGCTTTTTGACATGACCACATTTGGATTTGACACTTACCGTGACAAAGGAATTCCAATGTAGCCACACTGAAGCTCTTTTGGATCACACTTTCTAAAGTCTCGAGCATTTATATTTTGCTTGTTGTAGGCATACAATAGCAACACCTGAAATGTAAAATGGTAAAAATAGTAGATTATATATATATGTGTGTGTGTATATGTGTATATATATATATATATATATATATATATATATATATTATATATATATATATATATATAAACATATATATATACTGTTTAAACTAAATGTGAGCATCATGTTTCTTTATTTTCACACACAATACACATATTTGTAAAGGTTTATCTCTTTAAGTTATAGTTCTTACTACCAAACCTTCAATAAGGCAATATAAGGAACAATGATAACATAAAGTACTGTAACCCATGATAAACAATTGACTATTAATTTACAATCAGAAGAAATTTAGAGTCTGTTTTCTTTTACCATACTTTGTATTTTCCACTGCCCTATAAAATTAGTTTACATTATTTCAACCTAAATATATTTTATTAAACACATTTATTAACAAAAAATCATAGCGAGAACAACAAGATTTATGGCAGTACTAGCAGTTTCTTATAACTGTAATGACAAAATTGAGACGATAGCACAATATAATTTTTTAAACAAAAGCATGTTCATGTTGCTTGTCATACTCTGTGTATCTTTGAAAAAAATAAAGTATATTAGCATTAGAGAGTAAGAAGAAATCGATGCATGCTGACATATATTTTTGTAGTTGAAGTGTAGAATTATCATATAATTGGAATAGAAAAGTATCACAGCAACAATCCTTTCACCACAAAGGTGCAACAGCTGGGATTTAAGTTGCCTGAAGAACTATCATATTAAAAAGTGTTCTGAAGAAGCAATTTTTCAATGCTTTAATGCTGGACCATCAAACGAATACTACATCTACTTTTTATACGTATCCTTTTCTGATCAAAATGTTTTCTACTAGATCCCAACTGGTCTCTATTCTACTAGACATATTTTGGAACCTCACCTCCTGACAGTAAGCAAAACTTACCCACTAATGCTAGCTCATTTGTTTCCTGTGTTAATATGCCATTTATACATTAGCAGCTCATATTCACACTTCTTCACTAATTCCATCCAGTGCACTAGACTTTTATTCAGAATTATACCAGGCTTGCCTTAATTGCCCTGCTGCGAGAAGCACCCATTTTAAGAGTGAAAAGCTGAAGCTAAAATTATGCAAACAAATGAATGAGTTCAAGGTGTGACTCTCTCCCCTTACTTCCGTTGCTGGAGCGAGACACAAATATATTTTTATAAAATTTTATATACACCGAAAAAAAAAATGGCTTAACCCCTAAACAGACATGTAGACTAGATAGCTATCATTTAATGTTATATGTGTTATATTTTTATAATGTTTTTTTTTTCTACAGGCACTGGTCCCACTGGATGTAAAGACCTCCTAATGGCTATATTACTAGCAGTATGTTCCTGTGCTGATGGTATTTCACTTGCCCAAACTTTATATCACATAGGTACAAAAACCATCCACCCGTTTATCTCAACCACAGCATCTCTTTTACAATATAGACAGGACACCCAACACCATATACACAAAAGCAAAACTCCACCCAGAGTAACCAAATACAGTTAGGGGAACACCATTATTACTAAGCCTTTGTGCTTATTTGACTATTACTTCCATCCCATGGCAAAAGTCACTATGCCCTCCCCAGTTTGCTTTCAGAGGGCCCCCTATTGGAAGTACCACAAAGGTGAACCACCCTTTACCAGACACCTGAAACACTCCTATTAATGTTTCTATTATTACAGTTAAAGACCAATTTTTTTTAGCTCTCTACCCCATCTCCTCTGTCTCCTTCACCCCACCTTCATCCTCTTTACCCCTACACTCCTTCCAGGTGTTTCTCACACATGGGCCACTAGTGAGCTAATGCACTATCCTTAGTATCAATGGCCCTCTTGAATGTAATCTCTCTTAATATAAAAAGGCTCAACTTTCCCATAAAAAGGATAAAAACATTTAGATCCTTTGCAGCCCTTAAGGTAGATGTGGTCTGCCCCCAGGAAAAACACTACTCCACTTCTGGAGCTTCAGAATACTTCAGCCCATTTTACCCACATGTCTTTCTCTCTTCTGCCCCAAAAAAATAAAAGGGAATATTTATTAGCCTTCAGCATTCAGCACAATTCCATACTATGCCCCCAAACCACTCAAACCCCATTCGACTCTCATGTTTTCCAGGCCGTTGATTCACACAAGAAAGGGACCATTATAATCTGTGGAGACTCCAGTCAGGTCCTTTACAAGTCACCATATATCCAAGACTTCCCCAACGCCACACATTCATTGCCCCTTATCGACACTTGGAGGGAGTGCAACCCAGTTCATCATAACTAGACTATTTTATTGACACCCTCATATGTTTCCCAGGATTGAAAATATATTAATGCCACATGCATCTACCCCCCCTTTTCTAGATTCCCAAATCAAACAAGCCCAATGGTTAGACCATGGTCTCATAATGCGTTGTCATAAACAACTCCCTCCTTTCTAATGCATCCCTTTATCTTGACATACAAGATTTGTATATATGATTTCTGTGGTGCTCATTGTACCTATATACATGTATTTTTGTTGGTTGGATTTAGCAATGGAGCGAATATCTATACTGTATTATACCTGATGTAATATGACCTATCTGGATATTTGTACCTATTGTATAGTTGTACAGTATGTATATGCCTAATACAACTTTATTGATAAAGCATTTTTGTTATGTAGTGTGCTTACTCTACATATTTGAAATTATTGTACTAACAGATTGATACGTTGTGGAGGGTTTTAAGCACCCAAAGTAATAACCCTATTATTGGTTGTTAAATGGTGTAGATAATAGTGGTGTGCAGACAGTGGGGTACTTAGTTCATGTGCTGACCTAGGAAACAATAAAATCGGGCTCCCCCTGGGCTGCTGTTAGAAATCATGCGGCCCTGTACAGCCTACCTGACAAGGCGCTCCCCCAAAAATAACAGCAGCCATGGCACAAAATATACCCTTACTACTGACACCTGTGTTTTTTTACTTTTTTTTTTTTTTAATTGCCGAATGGCAAATTTACATTGTGAGACCATGGTGACCGGTCAGCCCCATGTGTAAGGGACCTAAGGAACAATCACTGAATCATGCAATAAACTGAGTGGGTAGCTCTTAAACTAAGTAAAAGCCAAATCAAGAGGTGGAAATCTATATGTATTTAAACAAAAACAGGGAGGAAGGAGAGACAGCCCAGGACTATTGTGCAGTGTACCAAAATGGATTTATTAAAATCTACAATGGTTCTATGCATCCATGCTCCAGGCAGGGGAGAGGATCAGTGGACCACTGTCTTGCATTTGGCTGGGTGGAAGCTGAATACAGTTGTCGGGATCCTCTGCTCTGAACGGACCAACACACAAAATGACATCAGAGGGAGAATTTCAGGACCTGGAAAAGGCAGAGACTCTACTGCCCGCTGTCCCCGCTGCTCCAAGGTCTGGACAGTTTGCAATTATGTAGATTTTATCCCCCTGCAGAGCAGTCAGAGGGAGAAAGCAGGCAGTACAGCTGGCCCTTCTTGCCCAGGCCTGATACAGCCTTATCAGCGCTCCTGCACCCCCCCCCCCCCCTCGCCGCCATCATCACTACAGTCCATCACTGCAATCCCCCCCACCACCTCCACTGACCAGCACACATCCCCCACCACAACCGCCATGGACTAACCTTAAAATCAGCAATAAAACAATCAGCTGCCCATTCCTGCAGCCTGTGTCAGAGTTGACCAGGTCACCATCCCTGCCACTGTCCCTTCTTCCGGGGGGCAGCACTGCCTCCCTGAAAAATGCCACCCTAGGCAAATGCCTTGCTGGCCACGTGGTAAATACATCTCTGTGTGCTGGCTTCCATTGTTAATTAAGTATTATAAATCAGACAGAAAAATATTCCCATTCTAACCCCAACTCATCCACAAGGGATGTCCATACGCATAGCAAGTTTCCAGGTATGCTGAAATTTTTACTTCAAACTGTACATCCTGCATATAGATAAAAAGTGCGATTTAAAGCCGATTTGCATAAATGTTATTATCCAGTGACAGCGCTCCTCATAGTCAGGGCCAGGGCTAGACTATTTTAGGCAAGACTAGCTGCTTGTGACCCCTCCCCCCCCCAAAAAAAAAAAAAAAAAAAATTTAAAAAAACAGTAGAAAATATTAAATCAACAAAACATGAAACTGCTACATTTCTTTTTAATTTGCAAAAATAAGTGCCCCAGCACAAAAATCAGTGTCACGGATGGACTGTATCTGTGGCTGGCAGGGTGACAGTTGCAGTGAGTGGAGGATGATGGATCCACATGTCATCACTCACTAACACATTGCACATGTGACAGATGGCCGACCAGCCGGCTGGCTGGACGTCCGGGTCACACTCACACAGACATCAAATTAAGACATTACATTCCTCTGCAGGTGTAGCTTCACCTACACTGATGAATGGGAAAAGAAGGGCTAGAACTCCACAGTGATCAGCAGCCACCAACCAACTTGAAGTAAGGGACTAAGTCTGAGAGGAACACTGGTAGGAGCTCCAGACACCCGGCATCTTCTTTTGTCCTTTCTTCCTCCCCTCTCCTCAGCTTAAGGCATTCCATTTTTTCCCAGAAAGGAACCTGCCAAAAGTTTGGTACGTCACTAATCCTAGACAGATATAAATAGGATCCATTATATCCCCCAGTGTGCAAATAATCTTTTTGCTCTTCTCAGACCAACATCACATTGCATGTGTCAAACACAGGATATACTGTAGAAAATATCTCTGATGTTGCTAAGTCAAACATCAATCCTATTCAGGTAGTGACCAGTTCCTTGTGTGTCCATAAATGGAGGAATGATGTCTTCTCTTATTCTCTGGTGCCAGAATCCAATATGTGCAGAAAATACACCGTTGGAATGAGTTATAGACTCTAATCCACTCACCATTAAAGTCTCTGACACCACTTGTCACATATGTTGATGGGGTTCTCAGCAAGAGTCCATGTTACAGTACATATCTTCTTTCCTGATCTAGCCGCTGCTGAGTGATAAAACTGGTTGATTTACACTAAGCTTTCTTACCCACCTGCAATGGCCAGCTAAGTATTGCAAAGATTCTAATCTTCATAATGTTACCAGAAGTGGCTAATAGATGATGGATTCTGGCTCAAGTTTTTTTTTTTTTTACAGAGTTCATGATGTCTATTCAAGTTACATGTTTGAGTTGATTACAATGCTCTAATGCATAGACTTTACGCACTGTGGCCACATTTTTATTGATATTAGTGTAATTAAAGAGTTACTACCCTGCATTCACTATATCTGGTCTCACACAGTACACAGAACATGGAAATGCAATTACTGTACTAAATATAAACTGCTAAATGCCTTTTCTTATCAGCAGTATATAGCAGTCTTGTGTCTTCTCTCAGCGTCCAGCTGAGCACTGGTTAAAGCTTGTAGTAGGAGTTTTCATTCTCCTCTGACTGTCCTATGAGTCTGCATAACTCTGACTCTCTGTCCGGACAGTGCTGATTGGCCCTGTGCTGATCAAATACACCCTCCCAAAGAAGAAAAAAAAAAAACCTCCTCTAGCAATACACACCAAACTGAGCATGTGCACAGTGAATCCTAGAACTCTGTACTATCAGCAAATGGACTGGGGACAATAGAAGAAGGGGAGCATCAGAGAAAACAGGATCAAACAGTCTTTTTACACAATGCGGAAGATTAAGCCCTTAGATTCCACAGTGTGTATAACAAGCATACTTTACTGCATATACAGACTGATTTTACTGTTGTGGGCTTAGTAACATTTTAGTTCTTGGCAAAGCCCCTATCCACATATTGGACAACTGGTGTCAACAACTTTATTATTGCATAAATGTCAGGGCTCCGGGTATGACCAGAGGTGTGTGGACCGACACAGGGAAACACAGACTTCAGGTATAGCATGTAAAACAATATAATTTATTAAGGCAACACAGACATAAACGCAGTGCAACAAACCAAACCCAAAACTAACACAAATATGTACAACAAGGTGCAACAAACCCAAACCTTAACTGATATATATATATATATATAAATATGGAGCACAACGTAGTCAGGCGGGCCAGGTCGGTAGCTAACGGGCAGACAAGGTACAAGGAGTAGGCAGAAGATTGGTCAGGAGTAGCCGAGGTCGGTGCCGGCAGAGTTCAAGCAGAGTCAGGATCAAGCAGAGTCAGGATCAGGCAGAAAGCAGACAGGATGCAGGTACAGGGGCTCATGGGAACAATACACCAAGGCCCTGACTGCAGGCCTGGCCATTCCTTAAATACACCTCCTGAAATCAGCCTCAGGTGATGGCTTGATTGCAGGAGTGAGCTTCTGGCTGCTGAGAGCACCCGCTGGCCAGCCCTGGTACTGCAGCCTACAAGGCAGGTGAGTCCCACCACCATTGGCGAGTCCATTCCTGACAATAATTTAGCATCTATTACTTGTACGAACTGTGTAATTTCTGAACATATTGGATTCTGGCATTAGAGGTTTGGCAGCCAGTAGTTGATAACAATTATTAAATACACTCGTTCCTCCATTCATGAACACACAAGTAACTGGTCACTACTGAAAATGTTTGATGTTTGTTTTAGCAACACCAGAAATGTTTTCCACAGTGTATCCAATATTTGACACATGCAATATGATTTTGGTCTGAGAGAAGCAATCACACCGTTTATTTACACACTGGGGAATACAGTAAATCCTATCAGACAATTTATATCCATATGGGATTGGTGGTGACACATACCATAGTTTTGGCAGATTCTCTACTGGGAAAAGGGGGAACGTGTGCAGTATTTGTTTTCCTTGTACCATACGGTGAAGACCACTATCACCAGATAATAACGTTAATGCTAATCAGCCATCTCAGTTTTTTGTATATACATGCAGGATGCACAGTTTTGTAGTCAATATATAAGCATTTTTGGAAATTAGCCCTGTTGTGAATGGATATCACTTATGAATGAATCAGAGTTTAAACCAAATGGAGGTGGTTTAAAAAGGTTTTTGTATGTGTATATATATATATATATATATATATACAGTGGGGCAAAAAAGTATTTAGTCAGCCACCAATTGTGAGAGGCCTGTAATTGGCATCATAGGGAGACCTCAACTATGAGAGACAAAATGAGAAAAAAAATCCAGACAATCACATCGGCTGATTTGGAAAGAATTTATTTGCAAATTATGGTGGAAAATAAGTATTTGGTCACCTACAAACAAGCAAGATTTCTGGCTCTCACAGACCTGTACCTTCTTCTTTAAGAGGCTCCTCTGTCCTGCACTCATTACCTGTATCAATGGCACCTGTTTGAACTTGTTATCAGTATAAAAGACACCTGTCCACGACCTCAAAAAGTCACACTCCAAACTCCTCTATGGTGGAGACCAAAGAGCTGTCGAAGGACACCAGAAACAAATTTGTAGACCTGCACCAGGCTGGGAAGACTGAATCTGCAATAGGCAAGCAGCTTGGTGTGAACAAATCAACTGTGGGAGCAATAATTAGAAAATGGAAGACATACAAGACCACTGATAATCTCCCTCGATCTGGGGCTCCACGCAAGATCTCACCCCGTGGGGTCAAAATGATCACAAGAACGGTGAACTAAAATCCCAGGACCACACGGGGGGAACTAGTGAATGACCTGCAGAGAGCTGGGACCAACGTAGCAAAGGCTACCATCAGTAACACACTACGCCGCCAGGGACTCAGATCCTGCAGTGCCAGACGTGTCCCCCGCTTAAGCCAGTACATGTCCGGGCCCGCCTGAAGTTTGCTAGAGAGCATTTGGATGATCCAGAAGAGGATTGGGAGAATGTCATATGGTCAGATGAAACCAAAATAGAACTGTTTGGTAGAAACACAACTCACCGTGTTTGGAGGAGAGAGAATGCTGAGTTGCATCCAAAGAACACCATACCTACTGTGAAGCATGGGGGTGGCATCATCATGCTTTGGGGCTGTTTCTCTGCAAGGGGACCAGGACGACTGATCCATGTACAGGCACTGAAGATGAAACATGGCTGGGTCTTCCAACATGACAATGATCCCAAACATACCGCCCAGGCAATGAAGGAGTGGCTTCGTAAGAAGCATTTCAAGGTCCTGGAGTGGCCTAGCCAGTCTCCAGATCTCAACCTCATAGAAAACCTTTGGAGGGAGTTGAAAGTCCATGTTGCCCACCGACAGCCCAAAACATCACTGCTCTAGAGGAGATCTGCATGGAGGAATGGGCCAACATACCAGCAACAGTGTGTGCCAACCTTGTGAAGACTTACAGGAAATGTTTGACCTCTGTCATTGCCAACACAGGATATATAACAAAGTATTGAGATGAACTTTTCATATTGACCAAATACTTATTTTCCACCATAATTTGCAAATAAATGCTTTCCAAATCAGCCAATGTGATTGTCTGGATTTTTTTTTCTCATTTTATCTTTCATAGTTGAGGTCTATCTATGATGCCAATTACAGGCCTCTCTCATCTTTTTAAGTGGGAGAACTTGCACAATCGGTGGCTGACTAAATACTTTTTTTGCCCCACTGTATATATATATATATATATATATATATATATATATATTGCGCCCCACACAAAATATGCCACAAATATTATTCTGGACAAATGAAATATTACCATAGGATATACGTGTCCCGACCTCTCCAAGGGTGGAGAATACCACTGCATACAAAGCTCCTTGTCTAAAGCATTTGTTTGCTATTTGTTCACTTTCTGCTTTGCTATCTGCTGACATGCTGCAAGTAGATTTCACTGACTCGGGTGTTTTCTGATGAAATTCTTTACTTCCTAAATTTTCCTGCAACAGAGGAAATAAAACAGCATTAAGTGTGGCCAAAGTGCACCTATGGATCAAGTATTGACACCGCATTGACAGTAGCTGGCGACAATAGCAAACAACCTGTTATGTGCTATATCCAGGATCTTAAAGCAGAACTTCATTCTTTCATTCATCTTGGACTATTTTTATTCCTTATGCTGCTAGCATTAGTTAATCTGATAGGAAATAATATTATATTTGTTTTACTTTTTTTTTTTTTTCAGTTACATCCTGGTTTAGGCAAATTATGTCTTACATCCCAGGATTCTTCAGAAGGGAAGGAGGGGCTTTCTCAGCTAATGCAGAGGAATTACAGATTCCAATAAGTAAAGTCACCTACCCTTACTTAAGATGGCCATGGCCATAAATGATAGAGGGATGTTTTTTAAAGTGATTTCTCAGTAAAATATAGCATGGAGACATGCATGGATGGGGGAATTTGCTTTGAATGTTAAAAATGAAATTAAATAGTGTTTTTGGTTTGTGCTGCTCAAATGCAGCGTAGTTCCTCTTTAATGTGAAGCACCAAACAGATTAAACCTGTTAATACCCAAAGATGCTTTGTGTATGGATGCGATATTTATTACATGCACCCAGAGCTTTACATGTATATTATACATTCACATCAGTCCCTGCCCCCAGGGATCTTACAAGTTAAGATCCCTAACTCACATTCATACATATACATACTAGGGCCAATTTAGGAGCCACTCAACCTACCAGCATGTCTTCAGCGTGTGGGAAGAAACCCATGCATGCACAAGGATAACATGCACACTCCAAGCAGGTGGTGCTGTGGTTGGGATTGAACCAACAATGCTAGTGTTTCTAGGTGGAAGTGATAACCACTAAGCCACTGTGCTGCCTACATTATATAGATTGTATATACTGTATCACACATTCTACAATTCTGTGTATAAGGATGTTATTAATTATGTCTTTAAGATTTTAGCATGCTCCTTTCCCTTAAACACTGGAAAATTGTTATTTAACCTCCCTGGCGGTATTCCCGAGTGTAGCTCGGGGTAAAGTTTCAGTACCACAAGCGGTAACCCCGAGCTACACTCGGGCTTACCATGCGGCGCTGCTCCATGATCCCTCGATCACTTTACCTTGTCCTGCGTTCCCGCGATGTCCCTCCTGCAGTGTCCCCTGTAATGTCCTCCGGCAGATGCGGCATCTGTCATCGGGGTTCCATCCCCTGCGAGCGCCGGGACGTACGGGACGGAACGGCGGGAAATTTGAAAATGACAAAAAGTGACATTCACTAAATACACTAAAATCACATAGTAAAACATTCCTGTATCAAACCATTTCACATACATTTTGTCCCTAGTGCTTTGTCCTGTACCCTGCCTGCATTTTTACTGTTCTTTCTGCCTGGAAACTGAGAAATGTCCATGGCGTCCAAAAAGCATCCCTTTCGGTCAAAAGCGGTTTTAGACCAGCTAGAGAACAGCGATAGTAAATTAGAACCACTTGCAGAATTGAGTGATGATGATTTGTGGGGAAATTCGTCATCTGACACTGAAAATGATTTTGCAACTTTGCTCACTGATGTGCGAACTTGGCGCTATATTTCAGATTTCAGTGTTTTTGGTTTGATTATATTATTGAATTAAATTTATTATTATTATATTATAATTTTTTATGATTATTTATTAAATTATAATTTATGATTTCGTGTTTCAAATTTTAACATACCCGGGATGTTTACTAGACTCTTGTTCAGAAAGATTTCAGTGAGTTATTCCTAAAAATTACAGGCCTACAATAAAAAAATACATCTTTCCATGCAAAAAAATGTACCGCTTTGAGCACAATGGACATAATCAGACCGCTAGGGAGGTTAAATTTTGAAGGTTTAGAAATATTCTTTCCTCTTGCCCTAACTTACAACTAGCTGCCACAATTATTACTGTCATTGATATATCATGTTCTGTGGTGCTGTACAAAGTGTTACTAATACAGATACATAAAAAGTGTTTGAAACTGACTACATACCACCACATAGTTACATATATGTTACAGGCAATGTGTGAAATATAATATATAGAACAAGATACATTTTAGAGGGGATCTAGAACAGACAGCAGATATGTTTGCCAGAGGACATAACAGAGACTATCCCAGACTATGCTATGACTAAGTGCTAGTGGAGCGTGAAATGCGTTAGCTGGAGTCCTGTATCCTTGTCATATTTGTGGAATATACTATAAGAAGAAATAAAGGTGATTTTATTGGCTGTGCGGCCATCGGATGTTTGTTTGTATATGCCTGCATGTTAAGTTTTATTCATAAAATGCTGAATGTCACATGGCGCCTGCAGTGTCCAACTGAAATTTTCCGGGAAAGCAGTTGTCACATTACCTGTCAAAGTCATGTTACAGGTTTCCTCCTCCTCCCCCCAGCAATATTTTTATTTCTGATAAATTAAAATAAATGGATAGAAACCAAAGGGGAAAGCAACACAACTGTTCTTTGTTAATACCCTGTAATTTATTTTTTGAAACAGCGGTATCCTTGCACGCTTGCATAGGATACCTAAAGGAGAAATAGATCCTCAAGAATAAAAAAATACAGGACACAACTCAAAGATGTTCAGCTATGTGATATGGCCATATGAGATGCAATAAGCTTTAATATCCATTTTTCATATGATTTTTCCAAATGAAATCATCCTGACCCTCAAATCCTGTCATAGCAGTTCATTTAGAAACCAATGAAAAATGAAATCAATAACTCTGAGGAAGCACAGCACAGCTAGCACTTAACATTTACAGAACCTTAATTATTTCATAAAATCAACATATTTGTTTGCTAGATTTTCAATAAAGGCCTTTATGAATTTCCATTGAGAATCTGCCCTATCTGATCACAATAAAGGATGCTTGCATAATGATGCTTTCATCCTTGCACAAGCCATACTTAGACATTACATTACAGGAGGAGTTTGACTGAATTCATCGTGACATGTTTAAAAGCAGCAAAGCTTTGTTTCTATAATGAAACAAAATAATCAAAAGATTGTATGCTTGTTAGCTATCTGCAACAGTCAGGATAATACATGATTATGCCTGCACCTGTCAGTTTACCGCAGCCAGTGATCTAAGGAAAATAGAATGATAATATATGAAAAAGCAAAACGAACAAATAGGGCTATACAACATTTTAATATGATATTGCTTGGAAATGTCAGAAATGTTTAATGTTCTTTTGGCTGAAATCTGATATTATGATTATGTGCATTACAGTGTGATTCTGGAACACGCACTGCAAAAAAGGCATGTTTATTAAATAGTGTGTTCAAAATGCTTGTATGGTATCTGTTGATATTTTTTTTATAGATGATCTCTATTGGTTTTGTAATATGCATGTACCATAAAAAACAAACCTGTAACAAACAATAAATGCTTTCACAAAAAAAGAACGTGGTTCTCTAGTCTTTTGCTGATTAATGCCTACGTCTAGGCAGTATACGTGGTTGTAACAGAAGGTAAGGTGAAAACATATATACATACAGTAAAGTTAATGGATTACGTTTCTCCTGGACCAATTAACACTGGGGGTGTAGCTGTAAGTGGTGAATGAGAACCCTATTTTTTTTCAAACTGTGGACACCATCTATTTATAAATGTCAGTTGATACAAGGGTACTGCAGAGTTGAAATAATATAAAGATCCCCCTGCGCTGCTATGGAACCCTAACGATGAATAGCTGCTCACACCTAATCCTCTACCTATGTGCAGACAAAATGAATGCAATATATTCAATAATGGTGTAGCGCTAAATAAACATACAAATTACTATAAATAAAATACAATCAAAATAACATATGCGTCACACAATGGTATAAATACTGTGTAAGATCCTACTGGATCTATAAAAAGTGTAAGAAAACGTGCCAATTATAATTTTCTAGAGTGCAATGAATAAATGGGTCTTAAACCAAGGACCCTATAAGGTGCTAGCTACCAGTGCCATTGCCAGAAGGTTTGCTGTGTCTCCCAGCACAGTCTCAAGAGCATGGAGGAGATTCCATGAGACAGGCAGTAACTCTATGAGAGCTGGACAGGTCCGTAGAAGGTCCTTAACCCATCAGCAGGACCGGTATCTGCTCCTTTGTGCAAGGAGGAACAGGATGAGCACTGCCAGAACCCTACAAAATGACCTCCAGCAGGCCAATGGTGTGAATGTCTCTGACCAAACAATCAGAAACAGACTTCATGAGGGTGGTCTGAGGGCCCAACATCCTCTAGTGGGCCCTGTGCTCACTGCCCGGCACCACAGAGCTCGACTAGCATTTGCCATTGAATGCCAGAACTTGCAGGTCCACCACTGGCGCCCTGTGCTTTTCACAGATGAGAGAAGGTTCACCCTGAGCACATGTGACAGACATGACAGGGTCTGGAGAAGCCATGGAGAACATTATACTGCTTGTAGCATCATTTTGGTGGTGGGTCAGGGATGGTCTGTGGAGGCATATCCACGGAGAGACACACAGACTTCTACAGGCTAGACAATGGCACCCTGACTGCCATTAGCTATCGGGATGAAATCCTTGGACCCATTGTCAGACCCCACACTGGTGTAGTGAGTCCTGGGTTCCTCCTGGTGTACGACAATGCCCGGCCTCATGTGATGAGAGTATGCAGGCAGTTCCTGGAAGATGAGGGAATTGATACCATTGAATGGCCTCCATGCTCACCTGGCCTAAATCCAATAGAACACCTCTGGGATATCATGTTTCAGTCCATCCGACGCCGTCCAGAGCTCAGTGATACCCTGGTTGAGATCTGGGAGGAAATACCCCAGGACACCATCTGTCATCTCATTAGGAGCATGCGTACAAACACGTGGGGGCCATACAAACTACTGATTATCAGTTTGAGTTGCTGTAATGAAATTTCAACAAAATGGACTAGCCTACTGCATAATTTTTTTCACTTTGATTTTTGGGGTGTCTTTGAATTTAGTCC